GCATGTAGGTAGGCACCCACTAGGCACTGCAGATCCATGTGCCAGAGTTGGGGTGCTGCTGCACGTGCGCACATGCAGGGGTCGTTTCCAGATCTCGGGAGCGGCTCGACCGATTGCGCTCAAATTTGGTACACAGTTAGGGACTGGTTAGTAGGGTTCCGTGCACAAGTCAGTTGGGACCCATTTTGCACGTGCGCACGTGCAGGGTGCCGCTTCCAGATCTCGAGAACGGCTGGGCCGATTGTGCCCAAATTTGGCACATCGCTGGAGAGCGGTTAGTAGGGTGCCGCGCACAAGTCAGTTGGAGGTAACCCCTCGCAATTTCGCACGTGCAAGGCCCACCCTCTCGCTCGCTCCGTTAGTCGCCCCAAAAGGCGTTATACTGGTTTTACGTTTGTCAGCTTCAGGCTTAATTTTGACTTCCAGTCCCCTTATGACTATTGGTCGGAGGCAATCATTTTGCTGCAGCTTCACTTGTTAGTAGCGATTTTGGAGCGGCTTGTCAATGGTTCTGTCAAATTATCCACACTCCCCGCTGCTAAGCTGGGTGCTAATGATGTGCAGCTTTTATTCCTGTCTGGTTTCTCGTCAGTAGAGCGCGGTAAGCATTGGATGTTTGAGTTTCATCCCCTGCACAAAAGGCCGAAAAGTCTCCTTTAGACGGCCGAAAGTCGGGCCCAATCCCTCTTATAGATTTATGATCAATAATCATCGTTTGGTTCACTCATATTGACAACTGTTTGCTTAAATAAATGTCAAATATGTTACATGTATGTTTATTGGACAATGTCATACCTATCCGTAAAGCTTTCAGTGTGATGAAGACCCACAATGTTTTCCCTTTCACTACAGTAGGGCATCTCCTCAGAAAGCGTCTACGATAGGATTATAGGTGCATACCTTTTAGGTACGTACCTTAGGTACAATATTTTTAAATTTTGATATTGCTTAGCAATCATTCAATCGTAGCAGCCATAGATATGCACACAACAACATTTGATAATTGATTGGACCCTGTCAGAGATAAGGACCAGGTGTTGCTGTCTTTCAGCCAAGTGGTACTGGTGACCTTTCCAGCCAAGCTATTTTATGATGCAATTTCCTATGCATTTTTCTGACGGCACAACCGTTTCCTATTTCCGATGATGAGGTTATTGTTTGCGTTCGATTGCCTCTGCGTTCAGACCAGGCCACCAGCGGGTCGGAACGGCTGGACGCCAAGAGGCGATGGTGGTGTGCCGCCTTTCACGGATGCCGGGCACCCGAATTGGATCCAACACCGCAGGGGAGAAGGAATCGCAGAGCGGGGAAGGTACCCAGCGTAGAAGCAACTGGCTGCAGGTCCGATTTTTGTGTGAATTCATTGATGAAACATACTTTTGATCCGCGCTTCGTAGTTAATGGGACCGACCCAACTAGTTATTTGTGACGTGTACCTAACTCAACGCAGCCTTTCAACCTGGAATGCAGAGCTACTGCATTATGCATGGCATTGGCTTAAAGGGACCCTCCCACCTTAACATTAGTTTTGAGTTGAGATAGCCAAATTGGTGGCCATGGCCTGAAAATACCGGTTTGGGCACTCACAACATCGAAAAATGCTTTAATTCGGAGATATGGAATTTCAAACTTGCAGTTTTCGGATTCTAAGGGGCTAATGCATTGGTATGCCCCCTTAGAATTTGTGACGTCAGCGGAGGTCTAACGATTTTTAAATCTTTTACTAAAACGTTTGGTAGCACGTGGTGGTATATGCAATACACCCTGGTATATGCTGCTTTGCGCGCAACAAATGCCGCACTTTCAAATAAAGTCGCTAGGAACAGCGGAGATCCCAGAAAGTAAACAATAGTAAAAGTCTAATATCTTGAAAACCGGTGAATATTTTTCGATGAAATTTGGTAGATATTCGTATTCGCTCTTCCTGAACCGAGCGACATCACTTTCATGCAGGCATCGGTAGGATTGTGATTGCAGGATTGCAAAATCCTGATTGCATTCCTTTTTGGTGGATTGCACCTGGATTTGAAATCCATTCCAAAAAACAGGATTTGATTGCGGATTGGATTGCATCATACTTCCAATTTTTGCAATCCAATCCGGATTGCGTGTTTTGGTGTTTGATTAGTGCTTTGAAATGGTTTGTTGCGATTGAAAATTATGAGATCGGCTTCATCGGCTTAAAGGGACACTCCCACCTTAACATTAGTTTTGAGTTGAGATAGCCAAATTGGTGGCCATGGCCTGCAAATACCGGTTTGGGCACTGCCGCACTCACAACATCGAAAAATGCTTTAATTCGAAGATATGGAATTTCAAACTTGCAGTTTTCGGATTCTAAGGGGCTAATGCATTGGAATGCCCCCTTAGAATTTGTGACGTCAGCGGAGATCTAACGATTTTTAAATCTTAGACTAAAACCATCGTTAACACGTGGTGGTATACGCTGCTTTGCGCGCAACGTCTGCCGCACTTTATGGCTGCCAAATTATTGCTTCCAAATAAAGTCGCTATAATCTGTTTTTCGTATCTTCTACCTTCACTCAAAGATGCTTTGTTCCTCCAGCACGTTTTTAGGGTATAGTTTTCAAATCTTTGCCGCATGGCCCACCACTCATTGCAGGAGTTTGTTGCTCGTGTTGGAGTTCGCCTTCGCTGCGCAGTTCAAATCGGAAAAGAAACCTTTAAGCTAGAGTATCGCTTGTATTATCGTTACCACGGTTTATTGGTACCGACTACCGACCTATACTCAAGGACGTTTTGCTGAGAACATTTAAAGAATAGTTTAAAGCTAGCACTTCCTTGTCATGGGGTAAAAGAAACTAAATGTGTTACCTATATTTTTTCAAATGCTTAATTTATGTTTTGCTTTATTTACGTTGCGATAACTTTTACACCGACGAATAACAAAATTATCTTAGCCCACGCCCGCTTGGGGGGTCCCCAGGCAGATTTGCTTCATCTTATTATTTTCCTATCTGCCTCACGCGATCATCCCGAAAAGTAAGAAAGGCGCGAAGACACGGGCAAGAATCGATAGCTCTCAACAATTACTTTCAGCAGTATACGTATATAGTAGGTATATACCGCATTTTGCTGAGGTCAATAGTGAAGGCCGCTGAAGGTCATTAATTTAAAAAAAACTCCCGAGCTCAACATGTTTGGACAAATCTTACCAAACCTTGTCAACCGATTGAACTACAGCACCGTCGAAACATCTTTAGTTCTAGCAGCTATTAGGTATTGTCGAAAGCTGCTGGTGATCTTTATCATCTAACATGACCTTTTGAGTGACCGCTGGCAATCACCAACGCCTTAGGGCTTATATTATGATACACAAATGCAGGTAATAACAACAATAACACCCACGTATGCATTTTTCGTATTATATTGCGCTGAAAGCATGACGGAGTTGAGCTGTGCCACCACCGACGGTGTTTCTCCGCGCCTTCAACACTTTTCTTTCTGGTATCCAAGGAAGTTAAGTTCTTTATTCTGGCGATATTCGTTGGTTGTGCACCTTCTTCACCGCCTTATTTCAGTCACCTAACCCACATTTCTTTTGCTTTGAAACGTTGAAAGAAAACGTTACGATCATTTTGTCTTGTCTGAGACCAAGGCCATTGCCCTTCTGTTGTTTGAAAACATAATGAAATTAGAAAGGGATAATTTTGCCAGAATTAAAATATGATGTAACGTTTTTTATGCAACTGCATTTCACTTGACAAAGAACATCGCATTTTGATTAACGGGATAGGCCAAGGGGACCAAGGGGACAGACGTTCGATCTTGCGTTCGAGATAAGAATTGACTTTGCACCGGTGTTGATTTAATTAGATGTTCGCTGGAGCACGTGATTAGAGAGTTTACCGTCTTTGAGTGAAGGTAGAAGATACGAAAAACAGACTATAGTAACAGGGGAGATCCCAAAAAGTAAACAAAAGTAAAAGCCTAATATCTTGAAAACCAGTGAATATTTTTCGGTGAAATTTGGTAGATATTCGTTTTCGCTCTTTCTGAACCAAGGGACATCACTTTCATGCCAATTCATTAACTTTTTTGAAGGTGGGAGGGTCCCTTTAATGTACTTTGCTATCAGGGGCTTTACATCGAAACTTGAAATAATTTAAACGCTTTTAATTTAAACGCTCAAAATAATATACGCTGATGAACTACATAGGAAGGGCAAAATTACGTATTTGAGGGCGAGTTTTAAAAATATAAAACAATGGTTGGGTAGAGGTTTAAATGTGGGGGTGTTTGAGGCAAAAAAATATTTCCCATAAAATACCTGTGCCTTAGATAGGAATTACTCGCAAGACTAGGTACTAGAAATGGATGATTTGGGGATGGAGGCACGGCCCTATGCCACTGGCGGATCCAGGGAGCGGGCATTAAAAGCAAATATGTTCTCCCCTTCCCCTGGCCCCTGCATCGCCCGAAATAGACAAAACGTACATTATGTTTCCTAATAATAACACTTTTATCAGGATTTTTTTGCTTTATGCTGTTCAGCAGGAAGTCCGTAAGGAATCGAAATCCGAGGAGTTTTTTGGATTTTGGACACTTTTTTTTGGGGGGGTATGTCCCTTACAGCGTCGAAAACGCCTTTCTGGATCCGCCTATGCCCTATGCCCCCCTCCCCTCCCTCCCCCAGATCCACTAGTGCACATAATAATACAACAGGATTGCAAAAAAGGATTGCGGATTTGATCACAATCCAAGTGAAAAAAGGGGATTGCGGGTAGGAATGCAATCCACTTCGGCACTAGGAATGTGGATTGGGAATGCAATCCTTTCAAAAAGGATTTTACCGATGCCTGCTTTCATGCCAATTCATTAACTTTTTTGAAGGTGGGAGGGTCCCTTTAAAATGTGGTTGTAGGCAGCAAAAAAAAAAGATGGCAACACGCCAGGCAGTGTCAATTTTAGACACTAGTAGAAGGAAGGAATACTAGGAAAGACGCGAAGAACGCATCGGCTCGAGGCACGGTACTCACGGCTTCCGAGCTGACCACGGCGAACTAGCGGTCAGGGTTGGTCGGGCTGGGGCGTGGATCAGCACTGAGAGAATGGACCAGCGATGAGCGAGCACCAGTGCTGGGGAGGGGGGGAGGGGAGGGGCGAGGGCTGCGGTCAGAGACGAACGAGCGTCCGCCAGGGCGGGGTCAGAGGTCACTGACACGCCAGGGTCAACAGGCCGGAGGTCAGGGTCATTTAAACTCGAGAAAAAGTCAATTATGATAAGAATTGGGCCAGCAAAGTTTGAAAGATGCCAAACTCACACTATCGACACAATCCACACACTTCACACAGAATGCTTATCAGCCATTTTGTTCAACCTTGATGTCAATGACTTGAAACTTCCTCCTTTACTGATGCCGCAGTATCTGGCCATTTGCCTCCCCTTACCTGAGACTGGAATGGACTGGAGGGTCACCGACACCGTCAATCGCACCGTCCCCGCCAACACCTTTCCCGGGGTCGTTGTTGATGTTGACACGTGCACGATCTTCGTGCAAGCGGGAATATGAGAAATGATAAGGCAGTGCCGTCTGGCGGGACGCTGAGCAAACTCTAGTGACGCCATCCGCCGGCAGACTCTCAGACCGGGCAGACCTACCACTTTGAGCTAATGTGAATCACATTTTCGACAACGGATTTTTTTTAAATAAATTTAGCTCGAATGTTTGAATGGACAGATTGATAGAGCCGTGGCCCACGCTAAGCAGAGCTTGTTGCGTAGACCCCGACCCCTACCGTCCGATCGCGCAATTCCGGGTAACGGGAGAATTTAGATGCCAAAGTTTAACCTGCCCTTCAAAGCCGGACACGGCCTGTCCCACTCAACTCAACTGACTTCAACTGGCTGCGGTTGCTCCCACCAACCGCAGACCATCCCCGTCAGGAGTCTCAAATATCGAGCGCCGGAGCGACTCGACCCCGGGCTCTCACTACCGGGAGTCCGGTGCTCTACCAACTGAGCTACGGGACAGGCGGATCGATTGATTATTGAAGCCATAAATTAGTGCCTGTTATCCAGCGTCAGAAAACATCATGGAATCACCTGTCATGGCTAACGTAACTCCATAGCTTTGGACCAACCATGACAAAGATTGCCGAAGCCCGAAAATGACCAGCATGAAGCAAGAGCGCCTTCAAATCAGCTTCATACAACTGGTTTTACTGCTCTTTCGAGTACCTACACACCAATTATCAAACCAACGAAACCGCTCTGACTGGTAGATTCCTTTGAGAGCCATAAACCCTCACTAATCCTGGGGTTCACCAATACGTGGCCAGAAGTGTGTATCACATTCTTGGCAGGATTCCAGTTGAGTATCGTCCGCTCCGTTCCTCGAATATTGTCAAATGTTGTGCATCGTATGGTCGTTTGACAATTGGCCGTCCACAAACTGTATGCCTCACAACTGGTTCTCAAACTGGCACGCAGTTCGTATGCCTGTCTCCGCAAACCACGAAACCACAATCCACAGCCGAAAGGACGAACAAGACTGATTTCATGCTGGTTTGCCGAATTCAAAGCAGTTTTACAGATGTATTTAACACTCATCGGCCATCGCACTTCATTTCGAAACAACACGCTCGGCTAAACCCACTCACACCAATCAGTGATCGCATACGGATAATTGTATTACAGTTAAATCATCCCGGCGGTCGGCGCTGTGCGGGCCGGCCGCCGGGTGTGATCTCCCGGCCTCTCGGCAGCGCGCCGGTGCGCCGGTACGCCGCCGGTGGCGCCACCCCACTGCAGTGCTCCCAGTCTCCGGCGGGGGCGCCCGACCGGCTGCGCCGCTGCGGCCGTCACCGTCGACATCGGAAGGGCAACACTGAACTCACCGAGCCGAAAATGTCGCGACTCGGCACATATCACTCACACGCAGGTACTATCAATTAGGCCATTCACGCACAGACATACTTAATTCCCTCACCCACTACTACCCATCGCCGCCCGATCTGCATTTCTATCGATGACTGATAACATTCGGGATATCACCACTACAAACACGTGTGCATATCGACTATCCTAACACGTAAATTTCGTTAAAATCAGCCACGCACTGGATCCGGTCGTCGACACAAGGAATACCACAATATCACTGCAATGTCCACCAAAGTTATGATACCATATTCGCAAAAAGGCAGGGAGGGATGTTCACAAAAGCCTCCGGTGTCGGGAGGCCCCGTGTGTCTCGGCGACGTCTTTCGGGCCGCACTGTGTTCACTGCAGCTCACTCAATGAGCCACTGCGGCCACCCGTGTGAGCCAAACTGAGCGTAGAGCGACATCGACACAGAATGTTAGCCTGTTCCGTGCGATACCGACATCGGTGTCCCGCTACCAAGACGTCACTTCCTGACTGTATTTATCGGTCACCACGAGTGCCGAGCACATCATCACTACGGGGACTGAGCCAGCGACGGGGCAACAGATGTGTGTTTGTGTGTGTCAGCATGTTTGGTACGCTGTGTGACGGACGTTTGGTTGTTAGTGTGTGTCTGTGTGTTGTGTATGCCGCCGTTAGTTTGTTGTTTGTGTGTCCCAGCGGGTGCGTGTGGCAGTTCAGCCGAACAGCGTCTCGGTAGCCTTCTCCAGACTCCACTCGCACGAGGAGAGAGCCGAGCGCGCCGTGTGCTCCTCGAAGCCCATGTCGCGCAGCTTGCACACCTTCTCGTCAAACTCGGGCACCGCCTTCGGGCCTGGGCGGAACGAGAGACGGCAATCAGATCAACAGACTTTTTCTCAATAATCCAGGGTTATGCGAAATATAAAAGAATTACTCGAACATATTAGCATTGCCGTTTAAATCATTTGGCATACAACCATGCATGCACTTCAACAGAAGTTTTGACCCTCTGAGTGGTTCGGCTTAGACGTCAATCATGACTGTCAACGGCTAATCACACACACCTGCTGCCCAATGGAGATTTAGCTGAAATAGTAAGATATCTCGAGAAACACGGTCCATTTCACTGTGACAAACTAAACTTCGTAACTGTTCAGAGTCCAAATCAACACCAATGAAAATAAAATGATAGGGCATCAAGTGTAATATCTTATCGAATCCGGACATTATTCCGTGATCCGGGATCGGTGCTATGACAGCTGATACACGGACATTTATAGCCAGTGACATCGGTTCATAAAGATAAGGTACGATTAATCGAGTTCCGTTGGCAGTAATTATCATAGCACCAACTTTCCACAGGTTTGTTTCGCTAACTTCCTGAAACAATACGGAAACATCAAACACGTGAGCAGCTGTCATTCCAAATACCAAGCTCAAAGTTGTGAGACACTTTAAGCTAACGCTTGGTATCAAAGTTGCAATGACACACCAAACCAGCAGACGGTTTACTGACCTGAGGCGTACTTGTTGGTCCAGTGCGTGGCCGTGTTGCGGAACATATCTGGCCGCTCCTTGTACTGGCGCGCCACGACGGCGTCCTGCGGATCGTCCGGCTCGGCGGCGGCCATCAGCGCCTGCAGCGAGAGCAGCACCGTGCGCAGCGTCATGGCCGCCGCCCACTGGTCCTTCAGGATGTCCAGGCAGATGGCGCCCGTCACTGACGAGATGTTCGGGTGCCAGATGCGCGTCAGGAAGCGCACCTTGGGCGGGTTGAACGGGTACGTCTCCGGGATCTTGATGTCCAGCACAAAGTGGCCGCCCTCGTACGGCGTGTCGGGCGGGCCAGAGATCTCCCCGCGCAGCTGAGAGTAGTTGTCGTTCACCAGCTCCACTTTGATCATCGACTTGGCGATCTGATGACACAAGAACAAGGGAACACCGTCAAAAGTGAGTCATTCAGTGACCTTGACAAGCCTACCAAAATCTTTAATTGATAACACCCCTAAAATTAAAAATGCTTGAAAAATTGATAATACGACTAAAATAAAAATCATGCAGCCTGGATTCACATGGTATGATATTTGCAACAACAGCTCATGGGAGCTACATCAGCAAATGAAACTTTGCTGTGATGTGGTACCTCCAAATGAACCACTGTGAGGTGTTAATTTGCCTGGGATAGTGTAGACTGAACCCATCTGATCTCATCTACTTCATGTATACATGAATAATCCTAAGCTGACCTCATCCTGAAATCAACTGTCCAGAACTACTGTCCAGCAGTAATCCATTATTTCTGGCAGCAACATACTTATGAATAAAGGCATACATATATCACAGACTCATAGAAAAGTAAGGTGGTCAATGGCCTTGTTCTGACATTTTTATTATGCAAAATTGTAGATCTCCAACCCCCATGGTGAAGTTTTAGCCACTTTTGAACTGAATGGTGCAATTTCCAGCCTGGAAGTGGCCTGGTATTGATTTCTTCCCCACAGTACATGGCTGGGACAGCCTTGAACTGTTGTGCAATGTTTTGCAGCATGTTTTGCAGTGTGGCAGGTGATGTGTGCCTGAGCCTCTTAATGCCAAAAACATAATAACTATATTTGTAACGAAATAGGTATCTAAAAAGGTACTTACGTTATGCATACCTGCCTAAAAATCAAAATCAATCATCACAATCCAATTGATAGTCATTCAACAACTTTTACCACACTTACATCAAATTAACTGGCAACAAGCATCAACAAACCATCAGATCCAATAAGGAATTTGGGACGGCCTCCTCCAACCGAGGAGAGGCATTGTAGGTTTGTAGGTTGTAGGGTAGGTTTGTAGGTTTGTAGGTTGTAGGTTTTTAGGTTGTGAGTTTGAAGGCTGTAGGTTAGGTTAGGCCAGGTTAGGCTGGGTCAGGTCAGGTTAGGTTTGTTTAGAATTTGTTAGAAAGAAACACCTCCAGGTATACCGCCTCTCCTTGGATGGAAAACCTTCGTGTGACGTCTGCTCTACTATTACCCTACATTTCCCCAAATTGATAAACACCAGAACACCTTCATAGCAAAAATGTTGTTTAAAACAGTATACCAAGGTATCAACCATCAGGAAGTGAAAAAAGGTGTTTCTGGAAATAAGTAGACCTATTTATGGAATATTCTCATTCTCCTGCGGCATCGAAACCACATTTCGGGATTTGCCAGTGCAGCCACTTACCTCTTCACTCTTGATAACTTCTTTGAACTCTCTCTTGATCCTAGAAATCGCAATATTTGCCATCGTTTGACCGATGATCTTTCAACGAAAATGTTTAACAAATTAATTGGTGAGCAATTAGCACTATTACAACAATTACAAACGACTTCGAATAATCGCCTCAAAGCCAAAAATGCAACCAAGCAGAACTACCTTATTGTGATTCTGGTGTTTTCGATACACCCTCGAAAATGTCAAACTGAAATTAATCTACCATCCACGCCGATCTATTGCGTAATATTCCAATTTACAATAAAATTCATCAATCTCAGCTCCTTGCGAAACAAGTAACTTTATAATTTTACAACTATGGCGCATCAGATGCGAAATAACAAAGACATTTCTTTGACGATTTATAAAATTATATAGCAAGTTTTTGTTTATGTTATTGAATAAAACTCTAAGTGTGCCAATTGTTTAAACTTACACATAGTTGAATGATAAAAATCCCTTACTCATTTCAAATATGACCTAATCTTCGTATTAACGTCATTTAGTAAAATGTCAAGTGACACATATTTTACGAACCTTGATTTAAAAGTAAATGTAAATTGACTCATTCCATACGCGCGGGCAGCGCGGGATTTTCGCGATTTTTGTAGTGCAAAGTATCCGAAGCTTGATCCGAAGTTAGCTCGGTTTTATGGAATTTCATGTGCCCAAATAATTTTTTGATATTTTACAAGGCTACATAGCCGTTAAAGATGCAAATAATGAATTCATTGAACTTGATTTTACCAGTGAAAAGCGAAACGCATCTCAAATTTACCTATGCTGATGCAACACAATAGCTTGAGCTTTACAATTTAAGATTTTGAAGCTACTTTGCTTCAACGTTGCCTGGTAATGTCATTGCCGGACCATTACCAAATTTAGTAAATTTGGTAATGGTCCGGCTCCGGGTCCGGCTCCAATGCTCAGTACATCCCCTATGCAATAAGATACGGGTGGGAGAAAAAAGACGATGGGATTGGTGCACGTTGCTTCTGTATTTGCATAACAAGATTATTTTCATATTTTGAATACGGCATGTTTTACTGCCTTGAACAGTCAAACCGAACTAGGTCAATATTGTTTTCCTCTTCAAAAAAAGGAGCTGGTGTCACCCCTTTTTTGACGGCTCCGACTCCGGGCTATATTGTTTCACGGCTCCGGCTCCGGCTCCGGCACTGGGCAAAATATGCCTGCTCCGGCGGCTCCGGCTCCGGCTCCGCACCCCTGCCCATAGTGTCTCACCCAATCTGTTGATATCAGTTGTTTTATTCTTATGTTGCGATATGTTAACCCTCATGCTTGCTTGATACAATATCTTTAATGTTGTCATTTATTTGCGATTTTTTTTTAGGCTTTCATTGTCACACCAGTTACAAATATTTATACATATGTACCTACCTACATATCTTTTTCAACCAACTTACAATAATCTCTTGAAGTTTCAGGCACAATGACTTCTGAGGACATTTGTGCTTTTGTGGATGATATATTGACTGAACTACAGAAGCCAACGAGCAGTTCAAGCACTCCTCAGCTTTTAAACACGCTTTGTAATGACAAGCTATTTCTTGACAACATGAGTGTTGTGCAAAATGATACAAAAGGTAAGTTGCCGCATGTATGAGGGGTGTTCAAAAAGTTGGGGCCCAACCATGAATGAGTGGGAATTTTGACCTGCAACGCGGTGTGTTCAAACTTCAATGATGTGTTATTGGGATGTCCTCTTACGTTGCCACTAACCAACCTGCCCTATGATGGTTTTAAATATGGGATCATTGTACTGGGTCATAATAGTTATTAAGAAAACAATTCTTCCTTGAAGCGCTGCGCTGAATGTTTCGTCTTAACGGTGCTTATTTGAATTTATAAACATTTTTGGTCCAATAAGTCGATGCCGTATCTCTGCTCCTTCATGGTCGGCCGGGAACTTCTTGAATGCTCCTGGTAGTCACAGGTTTTTCTTTTTCTGTTGATCTTTTTTAAAGGTTTTAGCATCATATATACGATTTTGTTTAGCGATTATCTCCGTGCGCACCGTTTCTATCCATTGTGAATTTCCACATTTCTAATATGGATTATTCACTTCTTTGTTCTTACTTATCAGTCGTGGTATTTCATTAGCGGATGCATCTCAATTCAGTTTTGAGTTTTTCAGTTTTTAGACATATATTTCAGTGTATAATCATGCCTTCAACAACCTCTAATGTTTTGTTTTAGAGTTATCTGGGAAGATGAACCTCGATGTTGATTCCGATTTGAAGAAACACACCGACTTGAAGGTAAGCTCACTTGTAGCGACACTTGCCTCCATTGCTACCAATAAAGGTATCCCAGCAACATTACATAACTTCAGCTACGTGAATCATTTGTCCTGAAATAACATAGTATTGGCTACATATCGCATTTCGCTCCGTGGTGTTAATCAAGGCTGCTTAGTTGGTGGAGGTGACCTATGGCTTCTTTGAGCATTATCATGAATGTTGAGGTGTTGAAAAATGGCTTTAGGCTCACGGTACGGTGTAAGTGCAGTGATAGTGAAATAAGGCGAAAATATATTATATTTCATTTTTGGCCTTGTTTCACTATCATTTCTCTACCGTAACATGCGCAATGCGCATTTTTCAGGTCATTTTTCAACACCATCATATTTGGTTAGTTGGAGTCAGAATCAGTCGGAATGGACAGTTTTTGGTCGTGGTTAGAGTCTCGAGAGTTTTACCTATTCCAACTATGTTTGGCGTAAAGGTCAAGCTTCGTTGGGTGGAAAGTTTTGCACTTGGTTTCTATTGGTCCTGCTTGCACGCTGATTCCGACATTGAATTATCAGAGCAAATGCATTCTCCGGCGCGGGCCTAGCGCCGTCGCTATTTTGTTGGAATTCTGGAAGCATGCAAGCATAGCATGTGCTCGAGCAACTGCATCGTGGTGCGGGATTTGAGAGGAATGCCCATTGTCTGAGGTGGAGTTAGTTGGATTTCGCATTTACCGAACGTCGATACGGATGAGGGAACGTTGACGCCCCTCGATAGGTAAATTATTTTAGTAACTTGAACGTAAGCAGCGATAATCAAGCATAGCATTTCATTGGAAGTTTTCTCTTGCTACCTAAACATTTTTACAGGCGAAGACTCTGCAGAACATATCGGAGGCCAGAAAAGAGATAAGACTCTTGACTTCAGAGCTACAGAATGAGCAGAGGTCAGAGGAAGCTAAACTGACTACAAAATACAGGCAACTGGAGCGGGAAAAGTGAGTTAAACTATCTTATTGCAACTGTGACGTATATAAATGCGATAAATGATCAGATTGCTGTGAAGTGTTAAATGCACTGTTGTGAGATAGACTCCACGGTCATTTCTAGTTCCGAGGGCAGTTTAACAAACAAAAAAAAAAAATAGCGGCTACCGATATTTTTATTTCGTATTCTTCCACAAGGCAAATCAACTACGCGAAAAAAGCTGCTGATGTGAAAACACATCTCAGGTTTGCTGATATTTTTCATCAAAAGTTATATTGTTCTCGCTCGTATGGCTAGGGAAGTTTGGGACGATATGCCTGGGGCAAAATACACGCAGCCGATGCTATTTTTTTCTGTTGGTAAAACTGGTCCCGGGGTATTTATCGCCTTGGTCTTGGCTGTGGAGTTAGCTAGATCTGTTCGAACTGGTGGTTGACGCCATTAACAGTACCTCCTTACCTGTTCAGTGTTCTCTTTATTTTCTGCATAATATGCATAGGACTCATAAAACTTACGACTTACCTCCGCTTTTCGCTTACCTCTACGCGATGGATTGAAATTTAGCATCATCTTACTTGCGGTATTTTCTCTTTTTATTATTACTCATGTTTACACAAGGAAATCTGAAGAACACATGGGCCATCCAGAAATAAGGTTAAAATCACGTCATTGCCGATTCAACACTCGGGAAGTTATACAAAGTGGTGGATGTTGATTTGTAGGCATTATTATTGCTTTATAGCGCACCTACCTAAGATTTGACGTTTCAGTGGAGTGTGTTTAATAAGTCCTGTGCATCAAAGCTCACTGCAATTTTCATTTATGTCCATTGTCATATAATGTCGTGGTGCCACTGCCGACTGCAGGCGCCACGCCTGCAGTCGGCGGGTGCCGGCGCGGCGGTGCCCGCCCTTGTGACACTGTTATGTGCCGCACAGGGCCACGTTCTCCGTCTACCACCGTGTGTCAGGGAACATGCGGCTCGACTCGCAGCACACCGGACCCGAGGTGCGCGGCGTCGTCTCGAGCGCGCCTACCACGGCCATCACCTTCAGCATGCGGCCCGACGAGCTCTCGACCGCCAAGCTGACCGACCGGCTATGGCAGACCGCTGCACGGGACCAGGGCGTCTCCAAGGCCGCGGTGGATGTCAAATAGATTCACACGTGTTTTTACAAAGACTTGCTTCTTTTCTGTCGTGTATGTTGTGTATCGCTATAATGGCCCTTTCACACGTAGCAACTTTTCAGTCGCCGGCGACAGCAGCAGTCGCCGGCGACCGCCAGCGACCGCCAGCCAACGATCGTGTGTGACGTAGGTATGACGTAAGCAAGTCGGTGGCGATCGCCGGGCCACGGCCGGGCAATCGCCAGCAACTGGTGACGTCAGATCCGCGTCACAGGCCAGTCGCCGGCGACTCTTCTCGAGCAGCGGACGCCGCCATGACAGTTTTGTCCTTGGTGAGTGGGTTAGGTGATTTGTGATGCATTTTTTTCCTAAATTGGTTGGTGTGGCTACCTTAAATTTGTTGCACAGTAGCATAGGGATTAATATCTTGTAGTTTGCTTGTCGTGAAGCTGTTGTGACTTGAATTTAAGCTTGATTCGACAATATTGGAGGGTTCATTTCATTTGTGGCGCACTTGCCCATGATCACCCATGAGTTTTATTTGTGATAAATATGTATTTTTTCATCAAAATTGAATATTTTAATGACATTGAAATTGACACTAGTTTCATAAGGTAATGAAAACTTGCTTGTTGTGTCACAAGAACATTGTTTACATTCAGTATCAGTGCCCTTGAGGACAAAGTGCCTACCCATCAGTCAGCTATTTGCCTACCTATTGGTGCGACACAAGGAAATATTTGATAGCAACAAAATATTATATTGCTGCTCATTAATTAGCATGATCAAAATCAAACAGGTAGCTTTGCAGTTTTGTTATTGTTTCTGCTGGAGTTTTCCTTGGTACCATGGATAAACAATCCAGGCCAAACTTAATCCGCATTGGGTTCGCATGTGTGTGCGTGCTCACATGGCAAATGATAATCCATGGCTTATTAGTACATAAATAATTGCAGTATGCACAGTAGGTGGTATGTCATGTATTTTGGCAAGGTATTAGATTAGGTGGTATGTATTTTGGCCTTGGAGCTGTTTCCTATTCATTGCAGCAATGCTGCCGGCATGGCTTATGTGTACCATGCGCACACAAGCTCAACCAATGTAAAAATGTCATTTTCACACAAAACTCATAATTGGAGGAAGGTAGAGCAGACCAAGAAAAAGCGGGCATTTGCTGCAGTGTGGAAAAAGTCACTAGAGGCTTGATACTTTTTTTTACATGCAGCAGCCTGGAGATGTCCACAGAGGCATGCCTGAGTATGTCCACAGAGGTGGATCCAGGCAAAAGTTTTTTACAATCTTCTCCCCTTGTGCCCGCTGTGTGTTGTGCTGACTGCTTGTCCCCCTTCTGGTGGTGCCTAGACTTGCCTCTGCATATCCCCAGGCTGCTGCATAATGTCTAAAAAAAAACCCTCAAGCCTCTAGTGACTTTAATCACTCCAGTCTCTACAGCATATGCCCACTCATGCTACAGCTGCCTTAACAATACCAAAATTAGTTACAATGGTCTCATAACCATATTCAGTAGGAAATGAATTACCTAGAAAATTATATTAAAAAATACACTTGCTTTCAAAAAGAATGAGCACTGCCTTAAAATGCTAGGTGTGAAATAATGCTAGGTTCCTGAACCACAAATTCCAATTCTGTGTCACTGAATACTGATTGCCAATTGTGCAAGACAAAAAAGCGTCAACAATGCTACATCAAGGAAAATGATGTTAAGATAGTTCTCATTTTAGCCTGAAGTGTAAAAAACAAACCTAACCTGATTTGGGTATTTGGGTAAACCAAGCCTAACCTGATTTGGGTATTTGGGTAGTTTTTATGATGCTAAGCAATAGCCTATTCCAGGTTTCCTAATTTGCAGAGCTTTTGGTTAAAAAATGATTTTAAAAAATATATTTCAAGTATGTTCTGACATGTCCGCCCTCTGTGCCTGGCAGACAAGTCACAGCGTTACCTGATGAGTCAAGAGGTTCTGTACCTGATGTACCTGATCAAGAGTAGGTACAGGGACCCGCAGTTGCTACTGTACACATATATTACCAATTTAGAATTGCGCTATTATTTGCTAAGTGCTGGCCATTGGAGAAAGGAAATGTAGCGCAAAGTATGGAGGAATAACACATGTTTGCTCCTAGCAAGTATGTTTTGTATAATTCCTCTTACCGCAACAGATATTCTTCCAAAACTACAACTGTGCTATTTTTCCGCGCCGGTTGCCTCCCCAGAGCCCGTCCTTGGTATCGCCTATAGCTTCCGTTCCCGCTACGTGAATGAAAGTCACGTGACTACTACAGGTTTGCGCTCAGTACTAACACACCTAGCCCGAGGGCCGGTCCGTAGCGGGGAGGGGTAGAACGCCAGAGCTCCAGCGCAGTGGAGGTGGTGGTGGCCCGTATCATAAAGAGGAAACCGTAAGCAGAACTACAATTGCCGCAGTATAAGATTATGGTCAAGTTTTCTTTAAATGTATTGATTGACAAGAAAGTGCAATGTTTATCCGATATAATAAAACGGTGTCCAAGGCCTTGGAAGAACTATAAAACATATTCAGCAACGTATAAATTTCTGATACAGGCCATGACCTTTCACCTTGCCTCCGGGGAGGACCGCTCAGGAAGCCACATACCGAGCGAATCGAGGCCTCGCAGCGCGGTGGCAGAGGAGGTGGATAAACCATCGCCAGATCTTTCGATTACTTATGTTTCCAGAAGAAGGAGCGGGGGGGTGGAGGGGGGCTATTTTCAACCCACTCACCAATCCTTTCCTTATTAACTTATAGCTTACCGAAAAATGCAACATAATGGTGGCCGTCACGAGATGTAGCGAAGAGTGCCTCAGCCACACCGGTTTTGAGTAAACTTTAAGCATTCGAATTCAGGCCAGTGATCCTGAAGCATTATTTTATTTTTGTCGTGCATAAGCTGGGATGACGTGGTCCAAGTTAATTGCGAAGAAACGGTTTTAGTTTCAGACCACTTATGAGGCTAGTCGCGCCAAATAGTATACGTTTGTTGTAAAATGTCAAATAGAATGTTGACGTGCTATCCAGATGATGGAATTTATTTGACACAAGAAGTCAAAAAGTGGCATCGTTAGTCATCCTGCATACCTATAAATCGATTCGTCACCTTGGTTCGAGCTCAATAGTTCTTTTCGCGGATGATCGGTTTCGTTTTCTTTTATTTGGGGGGGGGGGACAGTTTATGAGCCAGTAACCACCCTCCCCAGCTCCCCAAACAACAATTGTTGACAAATACTGTGATGGCCTAAAAAAGGCCCTCAATTGTGTAACGTAGGGATGAATGAGGTAAGTTGAGCCGCTTTTGTTTTTCGTAAGCTATAGGCTAACTTACTGATCATTTTTCTGCGTTTACGGGTTGACGGACAGAGTGGTCATTGCGCATGTAATGGTGGCCAGAAATGTTTCATACCGCTTATTTTTGTACTGAAAGGCTACGTCAAAAATCATCTTGCACGTTGCTCATCTTACCCCATGGGCGGGGTAAGTTGAGACACGTCGTGAGGAAAGTTGAGCATGGATGGAAAAAGCGAACCTCTTCTTTTCCCGGGTGCGGCGAAGAGTGGGCTCTTTTATTTACTCCATGGCATACATACTTATGGCAAAGTTTTTTTCCTCCATCAAAAAGTAACTGTTTTAAGCCTTCCAATAACTCGTCAAGTTTTCTATCACGGAAGAAATCATTTTATCCTTCAGATAATCTGCAAATCACTTACAACTTGTGTAATCAACAAAGAAAAACAATTTCCTACCTTTTTTATTCAGCAGAAACAAGCGCAGCTCAGTTTGGTTTTCGACAGCGGAGACAACAATGGCTTATCCGGCTCATCTTCCCCCAGGTGAAAATGGCTCATCTTGCCCCACCCGTGGCCATTTTCGATTAATGACACCCGCTAAGGAAAATAACCATGCACCGCAGATAACAACAATCTCATTTTAAAGCCAAACATGTCTTAGTTATCAGGGGCGATACCACATGTTACCGGGTGCTGAGCGTGAGAACGTTGCCGTCTCACGTGAAAGACTGCAGCATCGTAAGCGAACGGCACATGGAAGCTCAAGTCAATCAGCGCCATAGGACATAGGAGCTGCAAGAAACATGGGGTGGCTAAACTTGCGCCTTGGCTCATCTATACCTCACTCTCCCCTATTTGGGGCTCGCAACCTTGATTCGTTAAAGTTATTTGTCTGTTCATTGTAAAAGCTGTCAAATTTGCCGTATCATTAAACTTTTATTGAGTTTGTATTTCACACTTATCTAAAATGAACAATTTTGTCACTGGCTTCTTTTATGAATGGAATTGGATGGTCGCATGAATGAACGAATGAATAGCTCCATTTGAGCATCAGCTGAAATCAATCCTAAAATTTAATCTACCAGTCTGCAACGAAAAGGTTTAAAAACCAGTGCAAGTTAGGTGCAGTTTCTAATCTATGCCGTTTTTTTATTAAGTGTCTCATAGTTCCTTAATCTTGAGCCGCTTCTCTCACGATTCATTTTATGTGGTGCTTACAAAGTTATATTATTCGAGCTCGTTGGTCTTAAAAACTGCTATCGAAGTAAATTAAAGTGTTTCGGGCTTCGGCACTTAAAAAGCAATCGATATTTAAACCTCACCTATTTAGGCATTTCTTTTCAGCGTCTTACATGTAGCGGAGGGGCGTAGAAACCCTCAGCCATTCGGCCCTTGATAAAAAGAGCCAGAGCTTCGCTGAAAAATAAAAAAGGGCGTGTTGCTCGTGACGAGAGAAATCCGATGATTTGAGGGTCCGTCATCGCTGACGAGAAAAAGCCAATTATTTTTATGTCCTGGTCAATGCTGAGATCCTAGGTCACTGGTTGACCTCCCAGATCAGGTTAATAACCCAAAAGCACGGAAAATTGGGTCCTGCTAGAATTTCTACAAGTGAAGTTTGCTGGGACTTGGCTTGCTTCTGACTCCGAATTTGCACTTGCTTTGATCAAAGATGATGTATCAAAGCATTTGGGGTAGGACGGGTCACGCCAGATCACCCATTAGGCGTTCTGCCGGCTATATGGAATGTTAACCAGCACTTACAGCCTTGCAACATATTGCATAGGCACTATAACTGATACCTAAGTATGCCTAGTTTTCAAATGCTAAAATGGGTGCTAAATTTCAAACCAACACTTCCTAAAAACCATAGTAAAAAGGTGTAAATTTAAGGAAGTTAACCGAGATCATTTCAAGTAAATGACCTTAACCTGAGTTTCACGTGACCTTGGCACCCACAACAATTAATGAGACAAACATTAGATAATATATTTCACATGTTGTCACGTTGCTAATCACGAAACAACTATGGAAACACACAGAAGATGTGCGCTGACTTTCAATTGCTATTCTGGCCTGAAATGATCTTGAGAAAAATAATCACAGGTTAAAGGTTATTTGGTTCAGGGATTTAAAACTCTCAGACAAGATGCAAAAATGATAAGGCTATTTAATTTTCCGGGAAGTTGTAAAATTGATTAACTCCAGGGCACCAAAGAATCGTCGCAATCCTTCGCTTTGCCGCGATTTAATGGTGTAAAACAGCGGGCGCAGTCTACTTACCTCTACTTATATGTGTGGTGAGGGCTAATATTCATTTTATCTGTGTTGATGAATGTGCAACAATTTCTATATGAACTGAGACCAGTCCATATGAGTATGTTTTACTCACGGACAATGACAATATAAAAAAACAATGCAAATAAAACCAAACGTTTCGGACGACAACGTGCCTTCGTCAGTGGAGAAAAATGAGTGTATAGGTTTAACATCGATGAGAACTAAATGCGGCACCGTCTCGGTCTGGCCAGCCGGGTTGCCGATAAAATACACAAATGTTTATAATAACCTTCCATGATGTGCTTAAAAAACTGTTGAAAATATATCTTTAAAAAATAAAGATAACTACTTCATCGATGTTATCGAAAGAAAACATGTATGCCTAATTACTTATTTCTTGCCACTGACGGAGGCACTTTTTTGTGCGAAACGTCTGGTTTTATTCGTATTGTTATTGTATTGTCATTCCCTGTGAGAAAAAAGGATAACTAGATTCAGTTAGTAACCATAACAGCGAAACGGCTTATTGTAACACAATTCACTGTGTATACGAAACCTATAAGTCCCTAAAATAATTATATTTACAACTTTTAAAAAGATACAGCTTATACAGCTTGGGCATACAATTTTTTCTGCATTAAGATAATATTAATTTATCTCCACAGAATATGGTAAATTAATGCTGCTGAAGTTCGCTTTCGAAGCGTCTCCTCCAGGCATTCCACAGCTCTCGTGCCATTTTGGATCACGGAACATGGCTGGGCGCAGGACAGGTCAGGTCGTCTGCGAGCTTGGACGGACCACGTGACCACCTCCTCCACTCCCCCTCACTCCCGTCCCCTTCCCCAGTAGGGCGTCCGATCTAACCGCGCCCCAGGCAGTCGGCTCGGTCCGACCCTCCCCATGGTCGAGCCACGGCCCGGTGCCGCCTGAGTTTGTGCCGGGTGCAAAACTGGAGCAGTAACTAGCGCCGGAACTAGTAGTCAGCACGACCATCGTCAGATGGCAGGAGTAAATGGAATAAGCGGTTCCAGGTTTCAGAAGGAATGGGGCAGGAAAAACCGCTCAAAACAATGTTTTGCTGATATAGCCATAAAAAGTTCACTGAATTAGGAGAGCAGCACATCAGTTTAAAGCCCTTCAGATGGTGGTTTTAATAAGCACACAATCATTTCCCAATTCGCCTCCAACGGTGTCACCGGCAAAGAATACGCTGAAATACTAGTGTGTACAGAAGCAACTGCGGGTCCCTGTACCTGATGATTCTGCAACACCACCTGATGGCCAACTCGACGGCATTGCTGACCCGAAAAGGAGTCTAGCAGCTGAATGTTCAACTTCTGCCACTGCACTGTTGACTCTGCCTAGAGACAGCATCTGCACCACGGCCCACAGACGATCT